CGTAAATATAGTTATGTTTGGTAAATAAATATCATGTAAATATAGGAAAAGTCCCTGGCTAGTCTTCAAAGCAGCATAAAGATGCTCAATTCGCAAAAACAAGCCCACCTAAGGGAGATGAGCACTGATCTTACTCAAAATTTGACACCCCAAGAGCAAGAACGACTTGAACAACTTAATGCTGAAGTTGAGCAATTAGGAGACTTATTATTCAAGATATCAACTTCAAGGTCAGAGGTTTGTAGGCGGGTTTCACGAAAACATTTTCCGACTTTTTTCATACTTCCTGTCATTTCACACATTCGGGATTTAAGCTTGAAGGACGAAAGAATATATTGGAGAATGAACTGAACGCAAACTTGAGAAGGCGCCGCGAAGAGTTATTGATACAAATCGAGAATTTATCTACAAACGATGATTATGAAATAATATACAATAATAAAGAAGAACTAGAAAGGGTGATTAAAGAAATGTCTGTCCGTGAGCAAGGTGAGAATCAAAATAGTCCAAAAATCGAATCTAGCTGTTCGCTTACGCGATATCGGCTCTTGATATTAGAAATTGAGGCAGAACTACAAGAGCTTTCTAATGCTTTGAACCAAAGGAATTCGGATTCTGAAAGATTAAAGGTATGTGGTCGTTATTTATTAGCGACAATTTCACTAAAAGGAATAATGTTAACTCTCCTGTTCAATATTTGTTGAAAGGCCGAACAAATCGAACGTCAACAAAAACTAGAACGCCAGCAAAAAAATGTAGACAAATTCTTATCAAAGCGAAAACTATTGTTACAAAAGAAAGAGGAATGCTCAAAAAACATTCGAGAGCTCGGTGCATTACCTGAAGAGGCATTCGAAAAGATAAAAAACACCGATCCCTCTAAGGTTGGCCATCTAATGTTGAATCTGTTAAAATAATACACGAGTATTCGAACATTTACATTCTGATTATCGAATTTTAGCTCTTGAGAGACTTACACAAAGTTAATGAGGGCCTAAAGAAATATAGTCATGTTAATAAAAAGGCATTTGAACAGTATAATAATTTTAAAAAGCAAAAAGAAACGCTTACAAAAAGAAAGGTTGAACTGGATCAATCGAAGAGGGTAATCATTTTTTTCCTTTGTAACGAATTATTTTACTCGGTTGATGTGTTATTAATTTTTTTCATTTTAGGCGATCAATGAACTGATAAACGTCTTGGATCAAAGGAAGGATGAAGCTATTGAACGCACTTTTAAACAAGTGGCTAAATACTTTTCTGAAGTTTTTGAGAAGTTGGTTCCTGCAGGAAGAGGACAATTGATTATGCAAAGAAAAGTAGATCATAATGTAATCTCAACTTTATTATTAATCACAATGCAATGATCTCGGATAATGCGTACTAACTTGATCCCGATTTTGTCCGCACTTAGGATCAAGAGGAGGAAGAAGAGATAGAGCCAGAAGAAAATGGAGGGTCTAGTGTAGATAATTATACAGGTGTTGCAATAAAGGTGTGTGACAAATAAATAACACCGAGCTTTCGTAGAATGTTTCATTAAGCATTTGCAAACTAACTTATTGTTACAATCAAAGGTCTCATTTAACAGTAAAACCGACGAAGGGCTTCGTATGCAACAATTGTCTGGTGGACAAAAGTCTTTGGTTGCTCTTACCTTAATCTTTGCAATCCAACAATGCGATCCAGCTCCTTTTTACTTATTTGATGAAATAGATGCTGCACTCGATGCACAGTATAGAACTGCCGTTGCATGTAAGTAATAAATTCGAAAATGTAACTTTCGCTCCTTGGGATGTCTCTAATTCTTCCGAATTCTCATCACAGCTATGATTCATGAGCTGTGTGATAAAGGACAATTCATTACTACTACATTTCGTCCAGAAATGCTTACCAATGCTGACAAGTTTTATGGCGTGACATTCTCAAATAAAGTTTCGAGCATTAGCGCAATTACCAAGGAAGATGCACTTAACTTCATTACGCAGGTAGATTATTGGTCTTTCTCATCTTTCAAAAAAAATTTTTTTATTGTTAATTTATTTGAATTAATCATAACAGGAACAACCACAATAACCATTACGATCTATGGTATAAAAGCATATCCTAATAATAATCGTACAATAATTGCATTATTAATTGTGATCAGTGATTTTTAAAAATAAAACAAGCTAATAGTATTTTTTGAATTATTTTTAGAAAAAAATTAATCATTAATAAAATGTTTAACATATATGCACATACAGTATACTATATGGGTAGTTATTTTTGAAGATGAACCAAAAATTTTTTGGATCTAAATTTGTAATCTCAAAATTATATTTTAAAAATATAATTTAAAATTATAAAAAAAAATTTTTGATAAAATTTCAAAATATATATATAAATTATCTGATAAATTATAGAAATATAAATTGAGTATAAAGTAAAGCTTGCATAAAAGGAAAATAGTTAGATTCAAAGTTTTAATAATTATTATTTATGGTTTGAGTTTTACTTTATTTTACATTTTATAAAATAAAAAATTGAATTTATTTTTTATTCTAATACAATTGTTTTCATAAATTTTAACTTTATCAATTTTTAAATTCTTAATTATACAATTAGAAATTATAAAATTCATATATATTATATCTTAATATTAACTTTATTTTTTATATTTTTTTCAAAAAAATTATATATATAATTTTTGAAGTTTTACTATTGCTAAAAAATCTTTTCTTTATCAAAATTTTACTTTTAAATGATTTTAATTAATTGTTACTATCAATAATATAATAATTAATTTATTTTTTTGTTAAGAGCTTAATGATATCCAGTTACAATGAAGTTATGGTTTATAACTATATATAAATCTATTTTGCATAAACTGAAAGTATCAAAAAATCCATTCGCAGGTAATTTGTCTATATGACTTATTATTGAAAGAAGTTTTACTATTTCACTATCTATATTTTTATTATCTTTATATACTATATCTCTCATTTTTATAGTTCCTAAGTCTATAACACAAAACTTCTTTTGTATTTTATTCCATTAGATATTCTTTTTATATTATATATTACAATATATCTTAAAATATTTATATAAAATCTTAGATATCATTTTGTTCTATTAGTTAATCTTTTTATATAACTTATTATAGCTTACCTATAGAATGATCATATAAAATCTTGAACAAATATCAATTTAATAAAGAAATCTTTTTTAACTAATATGTCTAAGCTCCACTAGTTCTTTTCTTTTTATAATATTTAGATCTTTAGCTTATATGTTGTAACTTAATAGAATTTATCTTATAATAAGATGGCTTTAGCATTAAAATTGACTAAAATATTTTATAATCTTTGAATATCTCATAATTGAACAAAGTTTTGATCAGAGATAATTAAATCATTATTATAGAATATATATGATCTTTTTGTATCACTTAAAGCTTTTTTAGGTGGTATTGCTTTATAGTAGTATTAAACTTGAAAATAATATTTAATAACCTAGAAGTACTTTTTTTTTTTTTTTTTTAAACCCTCTGTCAGGTTAGTTAAGTGTGCTTTATTAAACATTTATAAGCTGTACATATTAAATGAAATGCTAAAACTAAATCTCTAACTAACTCACTTGTTTTGGTTATATTACCTCTCTAAGTGCAACTTCGGGAGTGATTTATCGCTCCG